CTGAGGGTGCTCACAGCTCCCACTGTGCACTCCCAAGGGGCTTCACCACCACTTGTGGGCTCCCCTTCAGCTTGCCTGCACCTTGTAAATAGCTCCCTTTTAGTCTCTCTTTACCCGCCTTCTTTGAATCTCTCTTTACTCGCCTTCTCAGTGCGCCACCTTGTTTTTCTCAGATACAAATTCCAGAGAAGCCCCAAGTTCCCACACGTGAACAGTTGGAGAGAGCCTTAAAGGCCAGCTTGGCCTCCCAAACCCTCCTGAACTCTCTGTATTCACATAAATTCCCTCTTCCACGGAGAGCTGCTGCTAAAGAACACACCTGCTAGAGAACCAACGTTGGCCTCTCCAAAATGTCGACGTTCCATCATCCCGTCCTCCTTCTAGCTCAGCTCCATTACCATGGTAGGGAACGGGGATTCCAGCATTGGGGGTGAGGAGGAGGAGCCAAACACAAGCTGGAGAGGGGCCAACTGTAATGAAAATCAATGACACAACACTACACTCCCCTTTAATTCTCTTTGTGACACACACGTTTGCCCTCAACTCCCCTGATGCTTGCACCCCAGGTCCTGGTGAGCAAAATGTCCCCGTGAAAGAGGTTTTGAACCTGTTCACACACAGAGAGACATCTGCACACACAAACACTTCCACATACACTCTCACACACGTCCACATAGCCCTGCACACATGCATGCATAAGCATGAGCACTTATTCACACGTACACACATAAAGGTAGAGCCCACATTTGAAAAACACACCAAACTCTCATTTCCACCCCGAGTTTCAGTGAGGCTCATGAGTCTTCTAGCCAGCTATCCGCAAGGACACATCTGGCTTGGCCCTGCCCAGAGTGGCTCACCTAAAACAGGGACAGAAGGAGAAAGCAGAGCCAGCATTTCATAAAATCTTAAAACAGATCAACAGAAAAGCCCAGTGAGATTTCTTAGCCCAACATTACCCAACAGGTGTTCCAGCAAACATGATTCCCTGAGCTGCTCTATGAAAAAATAAAATTCTGCAGTCTAGGGAGTTTGGGAAACATAGCCCGCCATATTATCCCCTCTCAGAGAATCCCAAGGCTCTGTGAGGTCCTGAAGAAAAGGTTCCTGCTAAAGGTCATTTCGCCCAGTATTTCAGTGATAGATGATAGGCAGACAGATGGACAGAGAGATAGATGGTAAATATGTGAGAGAGGAAGGAAGAGAGTGGGAGAGAGATTGACATTGATTTTGAAGTTAAACTCCATGGAACACACGTTTAAATAACACTGACCTTCGAACAACCATTTTCATAAGAAACAGAGGCTCAGAAAGGGCTTTGCCCAAGGTCACACAGCTAGTAAAAGGCAAAGGTGGGACTAGAACCCGGGCCTCCTAATGCCCAGGTCCACACCCCTTCCAACAGGCCCTGTTCCATTTTTTTATTTAACTCTAACCCCCAGGAGTTCTGGGAATCAAAGAGATCAATGTTATTTTCAAAACTAACCCTGGTGTTTGTGATTGTAGTTGGTGACTTCACGTGGCTTCCCTCCCAGGCACACCGTTTGCTGAGGAAGAAGCCCCTTCCTGCACCCCAGACTCCCAGGTCCACTGTGAGGGGTGGCAGGGCCCAGGGCAGAGGCCTGAGGGCCAGGCCTGATGTGCAGTCCTGCCTCCCGCAAGGGCAGGGGCCTGGATACCCGGATCCTGCTACTCTACTTGAGGTGGGGAGGTAGGCTTCCTGACGGGTAAACCCAAATAGGACAAGAGCTCACCGTGCCATCCCCAGGGATGGGGTTGGAGAAATGAGAGCTGAGGTCTGACCTAGGCCTGGATGCACACACCTTCCACGGGGCTCGGCTACTAGAACTAGAGCTCTCCTCCTGCCCCTCCTCCCTCAGCCAAGGTCCTGGCACCCTGCTTCCCACATCCTATCCCGAGCTCCCAGCCACAGTGACCTCTCCCTTGCTGCACACTCACGGCCCAGAAGGATGCCCAATGCCCTCAGCGGGCAGGCACCCCCACTACCCCCGGCACACTGTCGCTGGGGTACGGCTGCCTAAGGCTTTCCGCAGGCACACCCTGTCTCCCCACGAAGCCGTGAGGCTTCCAAAGCGCAGGGCAGGCCCTAACTTCAGCTCCCTCCCGCAGGGACAAGTGCTAGGCTCTGCAGGGTGCATGCACAGGAGGAGGAGAACAGCCCTGCGGTGCCGGCGTGCTGTCCGACACGCAGCAGGCGCAGAGGTCCTGGGGTTAATCGGCCACTTCCTCATCCGACAGCAAAATAGAATTCATGTTGGAGATCCATCACAGGACAGAGAAGCCACGAGGAGGAGTCTTCTGGAGGGACTCTGGGATGCCACCCCATCCATCAGCCTGTAAGGGCCTCGGGTCCCAGAACAGCACAATGTGGGGTGCCGAAGATGTGTGCGGGCATTTCTGGCTCTTGAACTCCGATTCGATTATAGACTCACAGAGAGGGAGAGCCCAAGCGCTTCCCATTCTCCCCTCCAGCCCTTTAGCACAGCAGAAACTGAATAGAGAGAACTGTGGGGAGAAGGCCGTGCCTGTGGCCAGGCTCAGACGGGGCACTACCCCTCCCCAGCTCAAGGTGCCTCCGCAGATTAAATCTGGCAAGACACACTTCAGACCCAAATGCCAGGGGCTTTTGATACCTCAACCAAAGTTCCATAAAACAGGAGGTTCAGCTGCAAAGACAGATTCTCCTGGCCTACATCCTCAGGAGGAGATGTGGACAGGAAGCTGTGGGGTGAGACTCATCTCCTGGTCTTTAGGCTAACATCCCCTTGCCGGCCATTTCTCCTCTCACGTTCCCCGCCCCCGCCCCCGCCCCGCAGACCTCTGCGAGCTCTTGCTTGAGCCCACAGCTATGAGCAAGCAGCGATGCCCCCTGTGAACTCAGAAACCCAGCCCCCAAGTCTGGGCTCCAGCCCTCGCCCCCCCCACCTTCCCCAGCCCCATCCATCTCTGAGGCTTTCTCTGCGGCTGGAATGGGGCGGGGGGCTACACCAGAGGCCCGCACTGTGTGGCACCATCGCTCAGTCTTCTCCTTTTCCTGAGGAGCAGGGCCCCTGGGGGCGAGGGCAAGGCAAACCCCTCCCCAGCAGACGGAGCAGAACAGAGAGTCAACAGCAACAGTGTTTATATCTGCTCCTTTGTCTGGGACACACAGCCCAGTGCCTGAGGGCTTGCCAGGGTGGCCTCTTGTCTGGCACTGTTTGCCTTTGGGGCGAGAGGTGCCCTGGAGTGGGGAGAGAGAGGCCCGGTGGGGGTGGGAAGCAGGGCCCAGGACCACACCAGGCAGCCAGCCTTGGTGCCAAAGGCCGTGGCTCATGAAGCCCCTGGGCAAGGAGCCAGGTGCCGCCCACTCTTCTGTCTGCAGGCTCAGGTGACAGGACATGGCAGGAACTTCCCACCTCTCACGAAGACCCCTCAGAACCATTGTCTTCCCTCACCCAGGCCCCTCAGGGCCCCCAGATTGCTTCTCAGGGCTCACTCCGCCACCCCTGCACACCCACCCTCGCCCCCAACCCAAGGAAGTTAAGGAAGCTAAGAGACACTGCTAGTACTTGCCCAGAGGGGACAGAAACAGCTCGGGGAGAGCTGGGGACCTGCTTCTGGGGCGATGTCCAAAGGCGGTCCGCACGTGTGTTAGAGGCGGCTGGCCTTACAATTCCATCTTCCCCAAACCACCGCCTGTCCTTCGAGTGCCCTCCAACCCAGCTCCTCCACAAGCGGCTCTTCCGTCAGGGCTACGTCTGATCACACGTAAGCACAGAACCACTCCACGTCCTGCCTTAGCTGCTCCTAAACTGAACGAGGCAGCCTGTCACCTGGAGCTGGGGGACCCTGCGCAAGTCACTTCCTCTTTGATGAAGAGGGGCCGGATTCCTGGATCTCTAAGAGCCCTTTCAGCTTCAAAGTCACAGAACCAGAACCCCAGGGCAAGGACCTGAAGCCCTCCTAGACAGCAGAGTGGAACCTGATACTACAGGGATGCAACAGGAAGGAGCCTGCCTTCGGCCAGAGACAATTCAAGCCACCAACCACTATGCGGTTCTATGCAGGCGTCTCTACCACACTTTGTGCATAGACCACACTCTGAACTATACACCACACGCTGCATATTATCACACTGTAAGGTGTGATACACATTTTGAAGTATATTCCACACTTTGGGGTATACACACACTTCAGGGCATACAGACACTTTGCAGCATGTAACACTTTGTGTAGATCTACACACTTGGGCTATATCCCATACTTCGTGTATCTACCACACTCTGTGTAGAGACTTCCCTGCTGGGAGCATTCCCTAGTGTTAATGGGACTCTGGCAAGGCTCTGAGGTTCAGAGTGCAGACCCTGGAGCCAGATAAAGTTGGGTATGATGCATTTCCACCACTTGTTAACCTTGAACAAATCACTTGCCCTCTGAGACTCCGTTTCTTCACCTGTACAAAGGAGATAATAATAGTACCTACCTCATAGGGCCTGGGGGGAAGATTAAATGAAGCAGAGCCTATAATGGGCTCACCATAGCGACCGGCACACAAGAAACACCTGGTAAAGGGCACCTGGGTGGCTCAGTTAAGCTTCAGATTAATGTCCTCTGGAGTCATATCAGGGTCATGAGCTCCAACCGGAGTTGAGCCCCTCCTGGAGCCCCTCCTCTGCTTCCACTTGGAGCCCTGCGATGGGCTCAGCAAGGGCTCTGCTTCTGGCTGGGCTCCCTGGGAGTCTGCTGCTCTCCCTCTCCCTCTGCCCCCCCCCCCATTGCACGCATGCGCGCGCTCTCACGCCCTAAAACAAATCTTTAAAAAAAAGAAACACGTGGTAAATGGTAGCCTTGCCATTGCTCACACTTTCAAAGGTGAGTGTTTTATAATGTAATGTACTGTTTAATTTAAAAATTTTAATTGGAAAAAAAAAATATATATATATATATTCGGATGTTCCCGTAAAGCTTTGGAAACTCAGATAACAGACAGAACCATTTAATTCATATTTATTTCACATTTGATCTGTAAACTTTTTATTAAAAAAAAAAATCCACTGTCATTAGCAACGTGTGCTGCCATTAGTTTGTCTTTAGTGAAATAAGAGCGCAGGCCTTAAAGAGTCTCTGTCTAAAACGTGTAGAAACTCCGATGTAAACACGAGGTGTCCGCCCTCTTCCCTTGATTTTGGGAGTTCATCAATGACATGATCTCAACCAGAAAAGCAGGGGGGAAAGGACAATACTTTGATACCTAAGAGCTCCCGGGACAGGAACTGTACAGTTTGGCAGGCTCATTTGTCTTTTCGAACTGTTTACCTTGGGCAAATTGTATCAGGTTTGCTTCTTCCACATAATTTCCACTCCTCCATCTAAAAACAGCAGCTAAAAGATTTCTTGCAGTCAGCACTTTTGGAGAAGGAGGGGCAGGTGCACAAACATACAAGATAGAAACATACATATTCTTCAAGCAGTGGCCCTGGAGAGAGGGAAGGTGGGAGAGAGGGAGGGAGGGACCCAGGAAAGAGATACTTTTAAAGTGAGTTACTGGGGTGAAGGGTGCATCAGAGGATAATGGCTTTATACACAGGGCTGCTGCAAGGCAGAAAGGTTCATTTACTTCTGTCTTGGTCCCTCCTTGTAATATTTACATAGGAAAAGGCAATTATGCTGTTAGGCACAGGAAAAAAATGGACAGAAATCTTTTCCCCCTCAGGAAATCTCAAAGCAGGTCCAGGCCCCAGGGACAGTCACCAGTTGCTGGTGAAAAGGACACAGAAGGAGGTAATGACACCAGAAAAGGACTTACTTTGCAAAGGGGCTTGGCCTGAACCGAAGACAGTGTGTCTGCCTCAAAGGCATCTCCAACAGCATCAAAAGCCCAGACATCGGGGACCCTAGCGTGTACTATCAAAAATAGTGTATATTTACAGTGGGCGATGGGAGGATGGGCAGGGCTGCCCTGAGCATTTGTTTAAAAACAGAGTTAGGGGAAGGGGAAGAGCAATTAGCTGGGGCTGGGTAACCCCCATCCGTTAATCCTTTGTGAGCCGTACCCTCTGGGGTCTGTTCAGTGCTTGCTTGCTCTGATCTGCATTGACAGCTGGACTCAGGGGAGGTGAAAATACCTTTAGGAAGCAATACTCAGTAGGGGACTCCCAAGAACCCAGGAAGATCGCGCCAAGTCACAAGGGGCCCTAGCAACAACTGGGGGGCCTGCGGCCCTCCCAGCCAGTTCTTTTCCCTGGGGAGGGGGGGAAGCAGAGGCCCACAGGAGGCCACAGGGCAAGGCCTGGCCAGGAAACACCGAGTAGGCAGGACCCGGGTTTCAGTGTGCTGGGACTGCAGAGACGAGCCCCTCGATCCCCGCCGACTGCAGTGGGCGCCAGTCTGTTCGCGGGTCGCGGACCGGGCGCTCACACGATCCGTTTCCTGTCCCCCCGGCAAAGGATCTTCTTGAAGGCCCGGCGGAAGTCGTGGTTGAAGATGGTGTAGATGACCGGGTTCAGCGAGCTGTTGCAGTAGCCGAACCAGAAGAAGAACTTGAAAAGCGTGCGCGGCACGGAGCAGCCCACGGCCGTGAGCGTGTAAGTGAAGAAGAAGGGGAACCAGCACACCACGAACACGCCGATGACCACGGCCAGCACGAACGTGAAGCGCTTCTCGCGGTTTTGCCGCCCGCGCCAGCGCGACGCCTTGGCGCCCCCGCC